GGGCAGCCGTGATCACTTCTGGAAATTATCCTGCACGCCATCGGTGGCCAAGAAGTGCAGAGCCTCCAGGGCCCCTCCGCAGGCTCTGGCTGTGCCGAGATCAGCGTCTCCCGAGCATCTGTTTGCGTGGTTTCTTAACAGCCTTCACAGCAGCATGTTACTGTTTACAAATGGAACCTCTCATGCCAAAGCAAGTGTCCCAAAGGTCACATTGAAAGTGAAATCACAGAGTAGAGGCAACAGTGAGCAGAGGAATTAAGTTGTAAGAGGGACCTGTGAACTGAGCATACAGCTTATCAAAACATGTCGAATCTACAGCGCACGGGAGTAAGAACAAACATGCTGAAAATTAAATATGAAATGGGTAATTATGCAGTAATGAGGTTGAGGACATTACAAAGGACACTGCCATTTAAACCATCACATCTCAACGTAGTAACAAACGGGAAAAACCCTCCAGCTTTGTAATTATAATCGCAGTTGCCATAACAACTTAGTATCTCTCTCCCTGTGCATCCATCTCCAGATTGTATTTTTAGTAATGGCTGTGCCTGAGTATGTATTTTTCTTTATATAGCAGCTAATTTTTCAAATTAATGATCTTTCAAAAAAACTCTCATTTTTATTCTCTCTGGAATTGTAAAAGTCTCGGCGATAATTAGGGAAATGAGCAGGTGTGAAAGTTCCTTTTGAAAAATGCTATGTAGGATCTCTTGGTGGTGGTAAAAAAAAAAAAAAAAAAAAGAAAACAGTCTGCAATGGATTAAACACAAAAGACAAAAGCCTGGTCCTTCACAGAGCATTTGAGAAGCATTTTTATTCTCTCTGGAATTGTAAAAGTCTCGGCGATAATTAGGGAAATGAGCAGGTGTGAAAGTCCCTTTTGAAAAATGCTATGTAGGATCTCTTGGTGGTGGTAAAAAAAAAAAAAAAGAAAGAAAAATGCTGTGAAAGTATTGATGTCTTGACAATATTTGCTTCCAAAAAACGTTCTCTGGATCTGTACACTCTATTGTTCCTTGTCAAGCAGCTTAACATAAATCTCCTCTGTGGGGCTCATAAATATTTGAAAAATTATTGGCCGTGTAAGGTGTTTGAGGATTATTTGACAAGTACAGATTTATATTGTATAACAGAAGTTGGCTTTACAGAGTCCTCAGTCTAAGGGATGAACGAATGGACAAACATTGGCTCACCCTGCTTAGTAGAAGTGCACTTAGCAGGTTGTCAACGGAAGAAAACAATGGGTTGACTTTAAGAAACACCGTTCGGAGAACTCAGACCGCAGGAAGCTATCCTGAGCCGCCATTTTGGTTGCCCAATTGGCTCCAGCCTCTCTCACCAGCTGGAGTGTCTGGTTCCACATCCCTCTCCTAACATTCAAGCAGAGTCAGCACGTTCCCATTCTCCCCACAGTGTCTACACTATGGGGAGACACTAACGGCCCTTCCTTAGGGTTCCAGACATGTGTTAAATAGACAAATTATTAGGTTGAGAACAAAAGGGACCCAGAAAGAAATACTCTTTGACTGATGCCAGGAAAGACCCTAGCCAAGATTAGTCGTGTAAAAGGAGTTATTGAGAATGTTATGCCTTTCTTATCCTCTGCTGGTTTCTGTGGAGGATGCAAAATTAGCGGATTATAATAATCATTTGTTTATAAAGGGCTTATAAATGCTGCGCAGGAGGCCACACCTTATGGCTGCCGCCCACTGGTGTGTGAAGAGAACTGTCTGGGTGAGTAGGTGTGCCTGGACTCTTACCCAGAGGGGATGGACTTACGGGGGATTGTGAGCACCGCGGATTCTTCAGGAGGGCAGCAGCACTGTGAATGGGTGTTTCAGGGAGCACAGCTGGTAGCCTTGAGTCAGAGTGGACTGCAGGCCAGAAAGGCCAGACGCAGGGAGAGCTGCTAAGCAAGTGTTCCAACAATCTGCCACGGGGCTCTGAGCGACGAGCGAGGCTGGGACTGCCAGCCGGAACCGAGGAAGAGGCAAATGCAAGAATATGCGCTACAAGAGCCACAGGACTCACTGACCTGTTGGGTATATTAGAAGGCAGAGGAGCGGGCAAAGGTGACAGGGCAAGTCTGCAGCTAGAAGCTAAGGAACTGGGGACCCTCCAGGGCAGATAGGCAGGAGTTGGGAGGCAGGATGAGGCTTGCAGACCAAGAGAATGAGGTCAGCTTTGCCACCCCATCTTCCTAAACCTCACGAACTCGAACTGTGCACATTTCCAGGAGAGCAGCCCCAGAGACAGGGAGTCCGAGGTAGACAAAGGACACTCTAGGAACCGTGCCATAGGCTGCTGTTTTGGGAGAATTGGTGTCAGTGCAATCAATTCTTGTTCTATTTGTTCTGCTTGCTTTAATTATGTGTCTCTCCCAGGAAAACAAACAAACAAGCATTGATAGGGAGAACAGTAGCGAGTGGGGCTCATTTCCTGATTCCCGGGGTGTGTTGAGAACCACGTTTGGGTGGGACAGTCTGGACACTCACCAGACACTGCAGCATACATGTATGTTATGTTGTGTGCCTAAAAGGTGCCCGGAAGGAAGGAAGTGTTTCGGAACTAATGGGTTTGGGGCTACCAAGATTGATGCTGCCTGACTTTAGATACTGGATAAAGACAGAAGAGCAGGGTTTAGTCCTGGCCATCGCCAGTTTGCTGTGTGTCCTGGGGTGAGGCTGGGCCTCAGGCTCCTCTGTAACATGAGAGGGAGAAGATTAGTCTTAAATATTAACTGTCAGAACTGCTTGAGAAGCTTCTCAGACACGCAAATGATTGAACCCACACTTCAGGAGATTCTGTAGGTCTGGGTGGGTCCTGGCTGTCTGTGTGCAGGCTTGGCAAGCTCTGTGGGCTGTCATGGAGGTGGTGCCAGGGCATGGCACTGCCCTGGACAATCTTTGCAGCCCCTGCTGTCCTGGAGCCTCTCGTTGGTGTGTCACGCAGCTGGCTGGAACGCTGGTGTGCAGCTCGCTGCTGGAGCCGCTTTCTGTTTTTCCGGTGGATCCTGTGCTGCTGTCTGGAGCGTCTGGCTTCAGATGAAACAGCGCCTGCCAGTGAGCCCTGGGGACAGATCATGGAGGACGGTGGGGGGGGATTCAGAGGGGTCACAGGAGCTGCCCAGCTACGGCTTGCTTGCAGAGTGGGGGGTGGGGAAGGGGGCCCTTCTCTCCTCTCTCTCTGGAGACCTCTGATGGCTCTGGGTTCTGGGATGTCGTGGGGATTTGACAGGCAGGTCGAAGGCCTCCAAGTCCTCCCAGATGGGACCCGCCTCAGCCTTCAGCGTCCTCCTCTCGCTGTGGTCACTGGGAGCCCAGAAGACTGGTTCTAAAGGATGGCCTGATGGGTGGCCTGTGCGAGGACAGTGAGACAAAAATGAGGCCAAGAATGGCAGTTGTCCTGGACCAAGCCCTGCCCACAGTGGGGGCTCAGAAGTGTGACTCCCTCACTCCCAGGGAAAAATGAGGAGTCCTTGACCTGGTGCCCGGATTTAGCTCGGTGGCATCCTGGGATCACACCACAGGCCCAAAGGGACTGGGAAGGGGATAGGCCAACCCAGGGTTTGGGTGTCAGTCTGTCCCTGGGGTAGGCATAACAGCCCCACGAAGTTGTCTATACCCAAATCCCGAGAACCTGTGAATAAGTTAGGTTAGGTGGCAACATGGACTTTGTAGATGTGATTAAAGTCATCACCTTCAGAGGGGGTGATTGTCCTGCATTATCTGGGTGGGCCCATCTAATCACATGAGCCCTTAGAAGTAGAGAACTTTCTCGAGCTGGAAGGAGGAAAGACGTGGCAGGAGGGGAACAGATTTGAAGCCGTGAGAGGGACTCGGAATACCAACACTGCATGCAAGGCCTGCATGCAAGGGCCAGAGAGAGGCCTCGAGGAGCCCAGGGAAAGCACTGGAAGGATGCAGGTGGCCAACAGGAGGAAATACTGGCCTTGGCTGATATTTAGTAAGTAAACTGCATCCCACTCCTACAACTGCAAGGAACTGAACTCAGTCAGTGCCCTGAGTGAGCTTGGAAGTGGATTCTTCTCCAGAGGGTCCCCCAAGAAACCCAGTCCTGCTGATCCCTTGATTTTAGCCCGGTGACATCTGCATCTTCTAACTTGCAGAGCGGTGGGATGATAAATAGGTGTTTGAAGCCACTAAGTTTCTCATAATCTGTTATAGCAGCAATAGAAACCCGTGCAGTCCCTGGTTCCCTGACATCCCAGCATGGAGAGTAGAAGCCACAGGGCTATGGGCTTGGACAGCACATAAAGGACCCACACAAAGGTGACCAAGGGTGGAGATACTTTCTTGAAAGGTAGTGAGCTGGAGGGCCTCTGGTCAAGCACCTGCTCTTTGATGAACAACCAGCCCTCTTGTGACTCCTGGGATGGCAGCCCTTGGGGTAAGTCCACTCTCTCCCAAGGTCCAACAGAATCACAGCCCCAGATGGAAGCAGGGGTCTTCCAGGGGCACCAGGCCCGGCCCCCACAAAATTGTACTCCAAGGAGCCCTGGGGACCTCAGGAATTCCTCATTCACAGTTCCTGAAACGGATGCCTGTCAGTGGGGAACGTGCGTCTGCAGCGCTGCCTGGGCACCAGGCAGCGGTCTGGATGGCTGGAGGCCAGTTTCGGACGCTAACTTGCTTTTAGGACCTTGGGTCATGTTTCTCCACCTGTAAAACGCAGAAATGGAACAGCAGGCCTCAAAGTTTCCTTCTAAGATAGAAACTCCTTAAAGTTTCTGGGGAAGCCGTGCCCAGCAGGGCATCACGATGGCCAGTCTTGAGGGGAGAAGGCAGGGGAGGGCTGGAGACAGTCCCCCGGGTGGAGTGGCCCCCAACACCTGCCTCAAGGGCTGCCCCGGCGGGGTCAGAGGGGAGAGGGAGGGACGAGGAAGGGCGGGGACCGGCCCCCCTGCGCCCGCCCCGCGCCTCTGCACGCCCCTCCCCGGCCGGCCCTGCCCAGCCCAGCCAAGCCCGCGGGCCGATCACACGCGCCGCTGGCTGGCCGCCTCCCGCGCCCGGGGAGCCGCGCTGCTGTGCCCCGCGCCCCTGTCCCGCGCCGCCGTCCGCCCGGCGCTCCCGGTGCCCGTGACCCTGCCCGGGGCGCGGGGCGGAGCGGACATGGCCCGCCGGGGGGCCGCCGCGCCGGCGCTGGCCCTGGCGCTCCTGGCGGTGGCCCTGTCTGGGGTCGGAGCGCAGGGCGCAGCCCTCGAGGACCCCGACTACGACGTGCAGGAGATCTGGAGCCGCGAGCCCGAGCCGGAGCCCTTCTCGCCGCCGCTGCCCGCCGGGGCCGGGGTGGAGGAGCGGGAGCCGCGCCCTCCGGAGCCCCGGCCGCCCAAGAGGGCCACCAAGCCCAAGAAAGCTCCCAAGAGAGAAAAACTGGCTCTGGAGACGCCTCCACCAGGTAACTTTCTGCGCAGGGCGGCCCAGGCGACGCCCGTGGTTGCGTGCCTCAAGGGGACAGCTGGCTTCCCTACCTGAGTGTCTGGGACGAGTGAGCCCCGCGAACCGACCCGTCGCTGCCACGGCCTCCGCAGAGACGGCACCTGTGCTTCCCGCCGGCCCCTCTCAGCGCCCCAGAACTTGACCGTGACCCACTTCCCAGCTCTGGCTCTCTTTGCCAGGCAGAGACGGCGCTGTGCGGTTGGGAGGCTGCCAAGGGAGTGGAGTCCCTGTGCCCCAGCTTGAAATCCCCTGGGGAAAGGAGCTCTCTGCAGAAAACTTTTTCTTTCTCTGCGCACTTCTTCAGTCTTCTTGCGGCACTTTCTGAGAGTGAATTTTCGTCGACTTGGTGATGTGAATGGCTGGCCTGTTTTGGCAGGTAGCCTTCTGGGGAGAGCTCTGAGTGGGCCTTTACCCAACCTGTGTCCCCTGAGCTCCCCCTGCCCCGCAGCCGGTCCCTTGAATCTTCTGCCCCACCAGGCTGGATGGCGCAGCCAGGGGAGCCCATGCCTGATCTCTGCTGCAGCCCGGACCCCCAGAGCTACGGAAAGGGCCGACTTCTATCCATTCACCCCATCCATTCCCCTATCCTATCACTTCTATCCATTCTCAAATGCATCCTCAGTCTCTGCCAGGCCTGTCGTGGGGAAACTACTTCTGCTAGGTTTGTTACACACCTTGGGAAGTGTGCCTTTCTATTAGTTGTTCCAACTATTCTTTGCTCCAGTTGCAGGGGGCTGCAGGTCTAGTATTGCAAGAGTGGGGAGCGAGCAGGACTGTGGCCAAATTCTCCTGCTTGCAGTAGCCTTCTGGAAAGGAAATTTTATATGTACCACCATGACAGAGCTCCGGGCACAGAAGACATCGTCTTTGTTTGGATAAACCGCTCATGAAAGTCAGCGGGCAGGAAGGTGGTGCGGGTGGGGACCCAGAACTCTTGAAAGAGGGGGCCCATCTGAGCACCCCCTTTGCACATGCATGGAGGCCTTGTCGTGTTTCAGTCTATGGGCAACTTGGAATCTGCAGGCATTTCTGTGAGCTGTAAAACAGCTCTGAACAGAACCAGCCAGAATTTCCAGTGTTTCAGGAGGAGTTCTGGGGATTAAGGTGTATAAGGGCCGCAGTGGTTCAACCACAGGAGTGGGAGTGGGAAGAGACACTCATATTTGTAGGATGTCGGCTGTGACTATTGGGAGCTTTATGTTCTATCATCTCATTTACTCCTTTCAGTGGCTCTGGAGGGTGGGTGTTCTTGTTTTACTAATGAGAAACCTGAGGCTCAGACAATTTAAGTAACTTGTTCAGTGTCACTTGCTGGCTTGGGAGATTTGAAAGCCTTTCTCCTGTGTTTTTCACCTTGAGGCCTTTTAGGCTTGGTAGTTTGAACCAAATCTACATGTATTCCTGTTTTGTAGGGTCTGGTCAGTGTTTAGCCCAGCGCTGGGCATGGCAGGGTGGAGTGGGCAGTAGACGCATGTGTTGGGTTCTGGTAGTCACTGGGGTGGTGGCAGGAGGAAAAATGGGAGAAGTCCCAGGTTGGGATGTGAAGACCGTGCCTAACACCCAGGTTGAGAGCTCACCAGTTCAGGGATCTGGGGCTCATGGCTCAGCTTCCTGAACCGCAGCTGCGGCATCTGTGAACAGGAAGACTAGAGCCTCCCTTTGTCAATTGCTGTAAAGGCCTCTCGCCAGCAGCTTCCAGGGTGCCTGCCAGCTTACGGTTGTGCTGGTCCTGTGAACCTTCATTCACTCCGTAGGTGGTTACCAAGAGCCTGCTTAGCACTAGCGTCTGGGTGAGGTCCTGGGATAGAGAGAGCAGGACAGCCCTGGCCCCCACCCTCATAGAACTCACAGCAGTTAGGGGACTTTGAGAAAGTAATTAGGGTTACACAGAAGCGTGGGATGTTAAAGAGATGAATATGCAGAGAGCTCACCTAGTCTGGGGGCATGGGCCATGCTTCCCAGGGGAGGTGATGTTTAAGGCCTGACAAGAGAGTTGGCTTTGTTGTTCTGGGGACTCTGATTGGTGGCCAGCCATCATTCTCAAGACAGCTTTCTTTCCCTACAGAAAACATTTCAGAAAGTCATGGCCTGGCCTCAGCGGTGTCCACGGTGGTACAATGGGGAGGTGACTCTCCTTAGTCCTTTGAGCATCAGCACTCGTCAGCCTTGGACTAGGGTCTCTGGAGGAGAAATCAGGGTGCAACCTCATTTGCAAGAAAAAGATTGTTTGCTTTTGGAACATCATCTTGCAGGTAAAAATGGGCTATGGAATGAGGAAGCCCATTTATTCCTGGTGAATAGCCTCTGCCCAGCCCGGCCAGCCTCTGGCATTCACATGGATTGCCAAGCCCCAGAGGGACAACAGGCCCTTGGAAATTCTAGAGACTTAGATCAGAGGCCTCGTGGGGGAGCTGCCTCTGCCTCCAGGCCTGCCGCTATTCAGCCGCCTTTCTAATGAATTGCATGGGGCTTTTTAGAGCTCCCTTGACTGTGACAAGCCAAGTGCGACATTTTTCTTATACTTTTAACTGTCCTTTTTTTTTTTTTGGTGTTTGGTCAGAGGAACCCACCACTCTGGACCCCCAGTGGGGAAGTAGGGGAGACATTTAAGAATGACCTTCATTAGGGAAGTCAGTGATAGTTTTGTGCAGTGAAACCGCACTAGGAAAAAATTATTTTTTCCCACGTTAAATGGTGGCTTTATCTGTACACTGCTCATTCATTTCTGCATTGGAGCGTTTTGTAAGCAGGTGGTCATGATATCTTAGGAAGGCGTAATAACTTAGGGAGGAAAGAACACTGGGCCACGGCTGAGAGTGTCTAATGCAAACTTGTGTACTTTGCTTCCCTGGGTGGATGGTGCATGCTACGCATAGGGGCTGTCTAGGCACTCGGGTGCGAGTAAGAGGTTAGATTTAGAGATGCATAAGCATATAAAGCATATATAACTAATTTAACAGTCTATCATGTGCTTCATCTTTGCAGATGATAAAATATTTTCCAGATAGCCCTCCTCTTGCATAAAGGTGGGGTTCAGGGGAAGATGGAAGGCAAATCACCAAAGAAATGCCCATTGGGCATCACATGCTGCCATTCATTGAGGTGGCTTAGAGAACTGAATCCTTTGGTTAATTGAGAGTATTGCATTTTCCATGCGTGGCTGACAGATTTCCAGAGAAGTGGAGCCCTGATGTACTGAATGGAATGAAATCTTTAAAAACATTTATTTAGGTTTTTATTTTGAATTAATTATAGACTTATAGGAAATTGCAAAAGTAGTACAGTGAAGTCCCATGTACCCATCATCTAGCATCCCCAATGACAATGTCTCAGGTAACTACAGTGCAGGGTTTCTCAACCTTGGCAATATTGACATTTTGGGCCACTTGTGTATGTGTGTGTGCGCTGATGGGTAACAAGGGGGTTGTTGTCCTGTGCATTGTAGGACGTTAGTAGCATCCAGTGGGTCAAGGCCAGAAATGCTGCTGACATCTTACAATGCATAGGACAGCAACTCCACTGGATTCCACTTGTACCTTCCCTGCCATTGTTACAACCAAAAATGTCTCCAGACATTGCCAAATATCCCCAGGGGCCTGAGAAGCACTGCTATATACAGTATCAAAACCGGGCATGGTGGTGCATGCCTGTAGTCCCAGCTACTCGGGAGGCTGAGGCAGAAGGATCGCTTGAGTCCAGGAGTTTGAGGTTGCTGTGAGCTAGGCTGACGCCACGGCACTGACTCTAGCCCGAGAAACACAGCGAGACTCTGTCTCAAAAAAAAAAAAAAAAAAAAAAAAACCCCAGGTAATTGACTATGGTGCAATCCTATTAACTAGATGACATACCTTATTCATATTTGATCAGTTTTTACATGGCATTCGTGTGCATGCTCTCTGCAGTTTTATTGCATGTGCAGATTTGTGGAACCACCACCACCATCAGGATACAGAACTGTGGGTTCTTTTTCTGAGTTGAACTGGGATTTTGGTATCATATAATTTCTGAGGTCCTCACTGTGAACGTTAGTTCATCCCAGAATTTCAGAGCTTGACGGAACCTACGTGGTCACTGAGGGCAAGTTCTTGTTCGCAGCAAGCTTCTGACAGTGAGCTGCCCGACCTCTATTTGTGCACTTCCGTGGAGGGGCTGTCACCATTCACTGGATGAACAGTGCTGATTGCTGAAATGCTCTTACTCATGTGGACCTGACAACATGTTTCTCTCTAATTCCATTTTTTCAGCTGTTTCTAGTTGAATTCTATGGTTTCTAGATCCCTACAGTTGGAACGACTGGGACCCAGCAGTGAGTGTCAGGTCTCCAGTTTTTATTTCCCAGGGTTAAGGATCAGGTAAGGGGCCACATTTTGGGCATGCAGGTAGATTTGGAGTGTTATTATTTTGCATGCCATCTCCACATTGATGACCTTGGTTTGTAGCCACGCTCTTTTTGGAGAAAAAAATAGAACTGAGAAATAAACCATAGCTATATAACTCACCTTTTCTCTCCCATTTGGCAGTAACAAACAAACAAAATAATAAACTGAATTATTGATTTGAATAAGTGATTTGAGGATTTTTTTTTTTTCCTTCTGCCTTCATTGCACATTGGGTTAGAAGTAGGCTTGGATGTGTGGCCTTTAAATTTGGGTTCCTCTTGGTCCTTTGTTCACTGCTTTCTTCAAGCATGGCAAGAATGCGCCACTGTTAGAATATGCCCAAACCCGCGTCCCGGCCATAGTCCTGAGCCCACGGAATTTGCAAGGTGGGCGTCAAGCCACGTTTGTTTGTATGTCTGTGCCTGGAATCATTGAGTTTGCATTTTGTACAGTGTTATGCTCCAGTGGTGGGGGAAAATCACCAAAGAGTTGTTATTTGAGCATATTTGGTTGTAAACAAAGCCCTTTCTGTTGTGTGTGCTGCAAACCAGTTGGTGGAAAGGGCTTCACATTTAAGCTT